ACATGAAAGGGAGTCGCCCTGTCTGAAACCCCGTTTTGTGGCGAACGACTCGGAGAGGTCTTTTCCAATTCTGACGGAGCTGGTGGTATTGCTCAACGTCAGGTGAGGTGAGTTTAGATAACTTAAAGTGAGTTAGGGTGAGTTTAGCTGAGGTGAGTTGAGTTAACTTGAAGTAAGGTGAGGTTAATTGGCTTGATATGAAATTGGGTGAACTTGAATGAGGTGTGTTAAGATGAATTGAGGTGAACTCAGAGGAATGTGAGGTTGGTTGAGGTGAGATGAGGGGAGTGATTTGAATTGAAATGTGGTAAGTTGAGGTGAAATGCACTGAACAACATAACATAAAAAAATAAAACTACGTAACATAAAAAAGCACATTATGACGTAACATAACATAACATAACATTACCCAACATATTAAAATAAAACATAACATAGCATACCATAACATATCTCATTCTTCAGTTTTGTCTTTTTTTTGTCCCTATCTTTATCTTTATTATTTTCTCCATCTCTATCCTTGTCTCTATCGTTTTTTTATCATTATGTTTATCTTTGTATTTACCTTTTTATTTTGTCTTTATCTTTATCTTTTCCTCTATTTATATCCTGATCTTTATCTTCATTCTTTTTTTTTATCTACATATGTACATGCATGTGCACTAGGGCTTCACAATAGCTTCTAATGATATACAATTCTTTATACTCTAAAAGGGGTGTAATGTACAAAGGCATAACGGGAGCCAAGATAACTTGTCCAACCGAATTATTGGAAGTTCTTTTAGATCTTACCCCTCTTCATATTCACATACATACAGACTCAAGTGAAAAGAGCTTTACTAAGGATAACTGGTACCAAAGCGGGACAAAAGGGGATCTTAGTCGTAGGAAGTTGGATATTCTGAAATACTGAGTGATATCACGCATACGAGGTACCGAAATCAAAACATCGGGATTTTAAGTGACAGGCAAGCCCTCAGATCTCATCAGGTATCATCGAAACTGGTGATGCTGATAAGCTGATTACTCTTCGACTGACCATTTGGGTTCTCTGGATTACAGGACATATTGGTATTACAGGAGAAGAAATTTACCGATAAACTTGCGAATAAAAAAGCTTGAACTCGTCAGCCCCTAAGCGTTTTTGTGGTATTAGAAAAGGGACACTCTGTGCCCTGGTCTGGTTAGATGAAAAGGCTCAAACCGCTACTGGGATAACCTACCAGGTCTAGGGCAGTCCAAAGCACCTTTAGGAATGTATGATCTCATCCATGAATATTTTGAGAATTGTTATAGGAATCCTTACAGGACATTGCAGGCTGAACTATTACCTGACTATCGAGACATTTTAGAAGGGTGTCCAGCACTGAGAAGGACTTGCCTTCACTTGACATTTATTCGACGCGATAACATCGCTTAGTAGGTTACGTTTCAAAGGAAGAAGTTTTTTAGCATTCGTCAAGAATTTATAAGGACTCAATGTGTTTTAAACCAATCAGTACTTTAACATATGTACATAGCATATAAAATGAATGTCTTTATTGTTAAAAACTCCTATGCAAAAAGGTATTCAATAAAATCGTTTACAAATAAAATGTACTCAGCATATCGTTTAATTTAATTGACAAACAGAAAACTATTTAATTGATTCGCCAACAACTCAAAGATCACTTCTATGCATATTTGCATTAGAATTTTGTACATTTATATAAGCCTGTATGTACTTTGGAGCTGATTTTGCTTATACGAATATCTATAACTCACATTTACGGCTGTATTTTTGCATATAAGCGATTCGCAATAAATATTTTCAACGACCGTTGCAAATGGATGGGCACGCTCAATGCAATGTTTATATGCAGAACATTGCAAGCCATCAATCATTATTTTTTTCTCTGCTGATAAATATGGCAATTCAATTGAATGAAGTGACACATTGGTGCGGCAAAATGCCATTTTGCAGTAATGACGCTAATCAACAGTTGGCTTTTATGGATCATTAAATTTTTTTATGGTAGGGGCACTGATGATCGTGGGAAAGGTAAACACATGTACATACGTACATATGTATGTGCTAGGGACGTTAATTTTTTCGATTTTTGGGATCCCGCGATTTTTGGGACATCGTTCACACAATCCCGCGATCCCGGGATTAGTTCCGGGATCTAGTTAGTCATTATTTTTCAACCACTTAAAATGTAAAAGTTGCATCAATATGGTTTGAGAAGCTGTCCTACCTTATAATAAGTATTTAATAAATAAATGGGTTTGAAACCTTTTTTATTATTTATTTAAGTTGAAAAATATTTCATTAGTTACGAAACAAAAGACAGTAGTTAAATTTATACGCATTTAACAATACTTTAGCGTGTACATATCTGATAAAGTGAACTAAGGTATGTCGAAACAAGTAAGAGCAGCGCTGTCTTCAGCTATGCCGAAGGCTTCATACCTTTCATGAACATCTGCAAATTTTACTTTGACAGATTACTGGTTTTGAATACATCTGCATACATCGATAGAGGAGTTACATACCTATATAAAAAATCGCATCTGAACAATCAGTGGTATAGGAGATAAAGCTTATACAGCATAAATTTTGACGATTTTCTCAGTTGACTTTGTATTATTATTTATAAAATATCTTACGAAATTTATCGGTTTTAGCTGTTCAAATAAAGGAGTTTTACAGTAAAATCGCATATCTGAACAATCAGATGTATGGAAGATACATAGATGTTATAGTCACCCGATCCTTGTTATTTTCACTGTAAGTATTCTGTTAATAATGAGTGAAAATGGTGCGAAATTTCATGTTCCTAGCTGCATAAATGGAGGAGTTATGATAAAAGACCTCATATCTGAACAATCAGTTGTATGGGTGCTGCAGGTTATAGTGACCCGATCTTTGTTATTTTCACTGTAAGTCTTCTGTTGACAATGAGTGAAAACAGCGCGAAATTTCATGGTCCTAGCTACATAAATGGAGGAGTTATAACGAAAAATCTTATATCTGAACAATCAGTTGTATAGGAGCTATAGGTTATATTTTTAATTTTCACTGCAAGTTTTCTGTTGGTAATTATTGAAAACAGTGCGGAATTTCATGTTCCTAGCTATATAAATGAAGGAGTTATAAGAAAAATTTTATATCTGAACAATCAGTGGTATGGGAGCTATAAGTTATAGTGACCCGATCTTTGTAATTTTCACTGTAAGTATTCTCTTGATAATAGGTGCAAGTACTGCAAAATTTCGTGTTCGGAGCTGCATAAATGGAAAAGTTATAACGAAAATTCTCATATCTGAACAATCAGTTGTATGGGAGCTATATGTTATAGTGGTCCGATTCTTCCGGTTCCGACAAATGATTAATACATTATAAAAATACACCCACCTAACAAATTTTATCCGGATATCTCGAAAACTGAGAGACTAGATTGCATACAAACAGACGGACAGACAGACAGACGGACAGACGAACAGACGGACATGGCTAAATCGACTCAGCTCGACGTTCTGATCATATAAGTATACATTTTAATGGGTCTATCTCTTTTTATTCTTGTACTTACAAACATCGGACCAAAGTTATAATACCATTTCATGCTCATGAAAGGTATAAAAAGCTCGGTGCAAAAAAAACTTAAGTCAACAAATGTGTTGTGTGGCTGAAATAAGTTCATAATACTAGTGGCAGAAATAAAAGAAACGCCTTATTTTAACCATTTTAGTCTATATTTATTTTGTTTATTTAATATTAAAATTTTTTTTATAAAAGTCTACCTCATTCTACCTATGTATATCTAATTAAATGCGCATTTCGAAATTTGTACAAAAATTATTAAGTTGCAAAAAAATTTGCCAAAATATGAAACTTTTTACTCAGCATTTTTAGAAAAATTTGAGATACGCGGGTTTATAGCCCATTAAA